GTTCACACTTATCGGGAGTGGACCCTGCAGTTTTATGAAAGAACAAATACTGTTTTGCACAAATGTAGAGAATGGCGCAGCACTCTGAGCACAAGATGATTCTTTTTTTTTTTTTTTTAAATTGAGAAATGAGTTCTCGACCGGGTATTGAGCCTACAACTGAATACAGCGAAAAAGACTCAATAACGAAAAACAAAAAGGTAAACAACCTAAACACATTGAGACACACTCGGAACGACTCAAAGCAAGAATCGAGACAAACAAAACAAAAGACATGACACACAGACGTGTTACAAAGACGAGAGACCTCTCAGTGCACGAGGAGCCAGTTTCTCCGGGTATTATTTCCCACACTTTCTCATTTGTGGTTCTCACATCACTCGGCCCTCAGGCTTTGTTTTTCTGAAAAAACCCTTTTCTCACTTTTTCTCTCAACGCACATCTCTCTATTCTTTAATCTCTCATTTTTTATCCCTCCCCTGGGTGGTTGATGGATGAACAAGAAATTGCGGGCTCTTGCCCCTAGCATGCTGTTAGATCCTTCTTTTTCTACGCGCAGCTAGTGAGTTCCTCCTACAGAGGGGTTGTGCTACAACTGGGTGTGTAACGAATCTGTAGTTGACATCGGTTGACGATGCTCTGCCGGGGAGTTTGGACGCGATCAGATATGTCCAGATGAGGAAGTGGAACATCTTGATCCATTTCAGTTTGGTGCATCACACTTGGCTTGATACCTCGTTGCTCAGAAGATGTGAGAGCTTTTTGGCCCTTTTGTTGTCGCCTTCAGTTGTGCCTTTTCTGGTAGGTAGAGTGCCCTTCTTGGCAAGTATGGTGCCCTTTCTGGCAAGTATGTTGACAATGGGGAAAAGACAGAACACCTGATTCAACTGTGCCCCTAGTTCATTATTTCGACCATTTTTTGTTTTTGGCTTTCTACTAAAAGAATTTTGAGCAAAATGAGAGTTAGATTAACATGCTTGTTCAATTTTCTGATTTAAAATCATGCAAGTTAGGCTATGAGCACTTAAAATTTTCCTTTTTTGGGTCCAAGAAATGGTCCAGTTTTGAAAAATGGAATACTTTTCAAGAAGATTAGTCAACCTCAGTAAAAATTCTCAAAAACTATTTCGCAAACGGCCACTGCTGAATGAGCACGGAACCTACTCTTGAGATGCACAACCTCAGATCCGAAGGAAAATTGTCCCTTTCCTGAAGGACACTGCATGGCAATAGATAGTTGCCCCTTGTTTGAATGGCACCGCAACGCATTGTAGTCAGTCCTCAGAGTAACGAACACAACCAAATCCTCAGATACAGAGAAGATAAAGATGACCAGAACCATCGCATGGACACAGTCGAATTTGAAGTGTTTTATGGCTGGACTTCAGAACGAAGTTGCTTACGTATCCCAAAGATGGGAATCAAGCCTTACGTAGTTCGGGTTTAAGGTACACTCGGGTATTTAACCTCTCCTTTTGTGCTCTAACTTTTGCCAAGGCTGCCCTTCCGGGTTTTCAACCTTGCGAGCTTTGTTTTTCTTTTTCTTTTTGTCAATTCTTTTCATTTTTTCATTTTTTTTTTCATCTTTTCTTTTCAATTTCTTCTTCTTTTCGTCGCTTTTTTTTTTTTTTTTTTTGCATTTTTTTTTGTTCTTTTTGTTCTTTTTTTCTTGCTCAAACCTTTGCTTGGTTTGCCTTTCCAGGTTTTTGGCCCAGCGAGTCTCTCAAGGGTAAAAATATAGCTTTGTCCATGTCAAATGGTTTTGAGATCCTGAAGTCATCTGAATTCAGGAGAATGGTTGTCATTCGCTGACGATGCAGGAGTCCATCCAATGGGGGCTGAATTTGCCCCTAGTGTTGTGGATAGGAACTCAGTTGTCCTTCAACATTATTTTCTTCTTTCCTCCCTTCTGGGATTTGGCATTCTTGCCGATCTTCATTGATTTGCGGAATGATCCATCTTCGGCTCTTCGAGCACAATCGAACATTTTTCTGCCTCTAGGTCGAGGGCTGCTTCGAATCTGGCCACACAGGCCTCACATTGCGGTTGACCATTAAACATTCTGAGTTAAGGCTCAAGGTCGGAAAGCAAAGGGGGGGGTCGAGTCTCAAGGCTGAGAGCGATCCTAAGCTGCATAATCTCAAGAGCAATTCCACACGGGTCTTCGCAGGACTGCGCAAAATATTTTTGTTTTGAAGTCTTTTAAGAAAGCGACTAATCGCTCGCGCAGAAGACAATGTAGAACCAATCTGGATCAAGCTAGGATCCTTCTCAGTACTCACATTAACAAACATGATTTCATTCATTAAGGGCTTAGCATGTCTCTCTTCCTCTCAGTTGATCAAATTTTGCAAAACCCGAGGAATTCTTCCCTCTTTGTTTTCACCGCAGTGTTAGAAAAAGTTTTGAAAAACTTAGGTCAATGCAATGATTTCAAGGCACAGAAAAGTAGGTGAAAAGCACTGCTATTTCATTCAGAACTTCTGGCACAACTGGCACAAGGCAGAAGCAAACACGAGAGTGTGAAAATCACTGTTGTTCATTCAAATCTATTGGCATTACTGGCTCCAAGGCAGAAACAGACTCAAAAGAAAATGAAAAGACAAACACAAAACTAGCAAGTGATGTTCAAGGTAACACCCTCGAAATCACCCGACTCCAACAAAATAGGACTGACTCGGTACAACAAGACAGACCCAACTGACTCAGTAAGAAAAGACTGACTCTGTACAAAACAACAAGACTGACCCAGTACCCAAGTCAGAAAGTACAAATTAACAATATTCGCAAATGTGCTCAAAATAGTGCATGCCATCCACAATATTTGGAGTAAACTGAGCGCCATTTGCAGGCAGTTCATCCCCCGTTCACATGGTCACATTATCCCCCAAGTTCACCGATCCAGTGCCGATAGACTTTGCAGGACCTGACGCGGAGATGACCTTTTTATCAATCAGATCTTGTATTTCATAGTGAAGATGAAGACACATGTCAGTGTCATGGCCAGCTTGTTGATGAAAGACATAGTATTTCACCGGGTTGTGGGAGAGAGGAAGCTTATTCGGTAATGGCTGCGGCTCCAGGGGCTTCAGATATCCCTTTTTGATCAGGACCCTCAGGGTCGTTGACAGAGACATGTCCAGTGGGGTGAACACCCTCTGGCCCCGAGGTGGGTATTTGGCAGGTTGTGAGCTGGTTGTGCTGGATGTACCAGTGAAAGGGTCGGTAGGTGCTGACTTTTGATGATCTCTTCCGAGTGTAGGATTGGAGCTGAAAGGGGTGTTTCTGGTATAACATCTCTTGTCTTGGTTTGTCCTTTGATTCAGACTGCCCCCAACTTGAGTGGCGAAAGTGTCATCCACAGTCTTTGCAACAACTGCGAGCACTTGTTGTTTGTTCAGCCCCTCGGCTTTCAAGGCCTCAACAGCCCGCAAAAGGTGTTCATGGGGACTAATGCTTGCCCCTGCCTTATTCTTATCACTAGCCTCCACTTTGCTAAGAGATTGGCCTTCTTCCAACGCAGCCCGTCCCAAGGTTGGGGAGCCTTTTGACATGAACTCCTTGGTATGTGATGTGGTTGATGACGGAGCTAAGACTCTAAAGGCCAGATCTGCCACAGTTCTCTGAAGATCTTCGATCATCCTCATTAGCTTAGAAGTAGTGGGTTCATGGGTTTGGGATGATTGGGGTTCAGATGCACCCATCATGCATAAGTCCATGCTTTCCGGGATAAACACCTCAGGCTTGGGTAGATTGGCCGGGGTGATGTATACGCTGGGGTCGTAGGTGGACGGCAGTATATGGATGAGGTTGAGATGTAGAGGTGACGGGTCAGTACTAACCTGAGATCCTTTTGGTGAAGCTAGGGTCTCTTTGTCAATAAGATCCTGAATCTTATGACGGAGGTGGATGCAACGGTTCGTATCATGACCGTGTTATTGATGATAGACACAGTATTTAGCTGGGTCATATCTTGGTGGAAGAGAGTTTGGAAGGGGTTGGGGTTCTAGAAGTTCTAGGTGCCCTTCTTCTCGCAGCTTTTCCAAAGCTTGAGAGAGACTCATGTAAAGAGGATGGAATTTTCGGGCTTGGGGCCGAGTTGAAGGGGTTGGTTTTTGGCCATTGAGGGAAGTGGTGATGGTGTCTACTTCTGAGCATTTCACAGCTATGCTACCATTAGTAGTAGCATTGGAACTGCAAGCAACATTCCTCTTCAAAGGCTCATTATCTTCTGCAAAGATCCCTTGTTTGATGGCATCCTCGATTTGAACCCCCATTCCATGAAGGTCTGGAAAGGTAAACAGTGGTAGAACGATCATTTTCTGTAGCAACATGCCATGTAGATTCCGAACAATCATCCTGATCTGATCTTTGTCGA